TATCCTCTGTCCCTGAAGCTGTTGGCGTAGCAATATATATATATAGCTATAACTCCCATCTATCTACTATTCCCAATAGTAACATTCCGGATCCAGCCACAATCTTGCAATACTTCCTTGCATTCGTTAATACCTCTAGGCGATTCCAGACATTCCAACAGCGCTTACTTTTTGGATTAGGGTTGCTGGAATTTCTGCCAAGAAATCTCTCCAGTTGCACCTAGCGCAGTGTTTCTCAACCTTCTTAATGCCACAACCCCTTAATATAGTTCCTTATGTTGTGCTGACCCCCAACCATAACATTATTTTCATTGCGATTTCATAACTGCAATTTTGGTACTCAGTTCTTGTGGGTTTTTTCGGGCTATATGGCCAAAAACCCACAAGCCATGAAAGCCTTCGACAATACAATTTTGGTACTGTTATGAATTGCAATGTAAATATCTGATATGCAGGTGTATTTTCATTCACTGGGCCAAATTTGGCAAAAAAAACACGATACACCCAATTTTGGATATTGGTGAGGTTGTGGGGAATGATTTTGTCATGTTGGAGTTGTAGTTGCTGGGATTTATAATTCACCTACAGACAAAGACCATTCCGAACCCCACCAATGATAGAATTGGAGATTCTGGCTACCAATAGAACATCAAATCTCTTACAAAATACTGATCCTGACATTTAGAACTCAAAATGGCCAAGGACCTTTATATCTTAGGGACCACCTCATTCCTTTTCTCCATCAGCGGTCACCTTGATCCACCCAGGAAAATCTCCTATATATACCGGGCTCTAGGGAGGGAAACCTGGAAGCTACAAGGCATAGTAGAGCTTTTTCGACCTGTGCTCCAATTCTGTGGAACTCATTGTCTCCATACATTAGAGCAATGTTGGAGTTGGGATCTTTTGTAAAGGCACTCAAGACTTGGCTATTTGGTTGTGCATTTAAGTAATCTAATTTTCCAAATAGTCACTGTTTAATGTTTTTATGTTGAATATTTTTATATTGTGTAAATGCTATTTTAGACTGTAAGTCGCTCGGAGCACCTTGGTGGAGAGCAACTAATTAAGAAATAAAGTGAAGTGAAGTGAAAGTGAAGAATTGGGCCAAACTTCCCACACAGAATCCCCCTGCCTTGAAGGGACTTGCTGGGGCGGGCCTCCCTCCAGCCTCGCATGCTCTCCCTTGCCCACACATGCGCACCATGCTGCCATGTGCCGAACACGCCTGCTCTCCCCTCCCTGCTTGGAGTCTGAGAAACAGCCCTCCGCTTGGCTGAGAGGCCACCCATCACAACAGGAGGAGGGCTTTTGGTGGGAGGATTCACCTTCTGTTTTCAAAAAGGGAGGGAAGGACAGTTGGAGAGATCTTCGGCCTCCTGTGCCAAAGGGGTCCTTAAGACCATCAGAAATATGTGTTTTCTGGTGGTCTTTGGAGAAGGAGGAGGAGGAGGAGATGGAGAAGAAGATGGAGATGGAGAAGGAGGAGGAGGAGATGGAGATGGAGATGGAGAAGGAGATGGAGAAGGAGATGGAGAAGGAGATGGAGAAGAAGATGGAGAAGGAGATGGAGATGGAGAAGGAGATGGAGAAGAAGAGAGATGAGATGGAGAAGGAGATGGAGATGGAGATGGAGATGGAGAAGAAGATGGAGATGGAGATGGAGAAAGAGATGGAGAAGGAGATGGAGAGGAGATGGAGATGGAGTGAGGCCAAGTGGATGAGAAGAGAGAGATGGAGATGGAGATGGAGATGAGGAGGAGAGGAGAAAGAGAAAGAGAGGGAGAAGGAGATGGAGATGGAGATGGAGACGGAGAAGGAGAAGGAGAGGAAGGAGATGGAGGAGGAGAAGGAGGAGGAGGAGGAGGAGAACTTTATTTTTCTACCCCACCTCTATCTCCCCGAAGGGACTCGGGGTGGCTTACATGGGGCCCAAGCCCAAGGCAGAATACAATGAAAAACAAAGCAAAAACAATTAAGACAGCATAAAACAACGTAAAACAACATAACAATAATAGCTAGCAACAACAATAACAGCAGACTAATTTTGGAGGAGGGGAGGAAGGACCACTACATGAACTAGTTAAAGGATAAGTGGTTTAGTAAGGTGGATAACAATGTATAACGGCATAGGAAGTATCATGGAAACAGAGTAAATGAACAGGATCAGTTAATATAGTATAGTATATCAGATTGAATGACAGTTCAAGTCATGATGCAGGTCATTTGTCATAGGAGTCGTCAATCGAAAGCACGACGAAACATCCACGTCTTTAATTCCTTACAGAATATAGGAGCAGAGATGTCTATTTCACATATCACCTGATGAATTTGAGCATGGGAGAGAGATGTTGGAGAAAGACTTATTGGAAGCTCAGCTTCCATTTATAGCCACTGACAGCCAAGAGGACAAAACTCTTTGTTGATGTTTTTACTTTATTGTTATGTTAGAATTATAGAATCATAGAATCAAAGAGTTGGAAGAGACCTCCTGGGCCATCCAGTCCAACCCCATTCTGCCAAGAAGCAGGAATATTGCATTCAAATCACCCCTGACAGATGGCCATCCAGCCTCTCTTTAAAAGCTTCCAAAGAAGGAGCCTCCGCCACACTCCGGGGCAGAGAGTTCCACTGCTGAACGGCTCTCACAGTCAGGAAGTTCTTCCTCATGTTCAGATGGAATCTCCTCTCTTGTAGTTTGAAGCCATTGTTCCGCTTATTATTATTATTATTATTATTATTATTATTAAAGTTAAAACTAACAGATATGCCATACGTATTGCACTTTTAAGCTCTATTTACTTAAGTTACTCAGTGACAAATCTAATGGTAGAAGAGGAATCTTATAACAAACCAATACTTTTTCCCACAATTAAAATATGTGAGTTTGTTTGGGGATTCTGGCTTTGCAGGGAAACATAGGTAGGACATCTCCATCTCCCACCCAAGAATCTTTCTTCAAATAATGGGTATTTATTAGTTTAGGAGGCCCAATTAATTGAGAAAGAACCTAAATGAGCAGGAACAGTCCCGATTCTGGCATTACTTCGCCACTACATCTTTCAAAATGCCATTCGCTTAATAAAATTAATGTTTCCTAACCGTCTCCCACTCCCAAACTACACATACAAAATTATGGTAATAATCTGATTTCCCAGAACTGGATTTCCTTGAAAGGAAGCCTGGTGTTCAACTCTCCCACTCTCCAAAATCCCAAGCAAATGTTTATTTATTTATTGTGTCAGAAGCAAATTGAGGGTAAAGTTATAATGTATTCAAAAACACAAACAAAGTTAAAGACCTGATATTACACTAAATGTCCTTTGACCAGAAGCTGGCCACTTGAAGGGCTAGCTGCAGAAAATCTGCTGACCAGAGGATTAGCAGTTCAAAGCCACGAGTCGGGGTGAGCTCCTGGCTGTTAGCTCTAGCTTCTACCTACCTAGCAGTTCGAAAGCATGTAATGCGAGTAGATCAATAGGTACCGCCTTGATGGGGAGGTAAAAGGGCTCCCCAAGCAGACATGCAGGCAACACAATCAGAGAAATTTATGGACAGTAGGGTCCTTGGCGTGGAAAAACAGAGCAAGAGCACCTCCCCATGGTCAGAGTTGAGCATTGTCTCCAGACGCCGGAGATGGAAGGGAAAGGCATTTACCTCTGTCTGGGCATTGTATGTTGTTGTTGACTGCAAAAAGACATTGAATGTTTGCATTATATACGTAAAACTGGAATGCACTCTGAAGGCCCTTCCACACAGCCATATAATATCACGGCAGAAAATCCCACAATATCTACTTTGAACTGCGTTATCTGAATCCACACTGCCATATATTCCAGTTCAAAGAAGAGAATGTGGGATTTTATTCAGCTGTGTGGAAGGGGCCTGAATACCTCCGACAAGATAAAGCAGAATATAAATAAAGTGTATTGTTATTATTATTATAACGGAGCCCCCGATGGCACAGTGGGTTAAACCCCTGTGCCGGCAGGACTGAAGACCGACAGGTCGCAGGTTCGAATTTAGGGAGAGCGTGGATGAGCTCCCTCTATCAGCTCCAGCTGCTCATGCGGGGACATGAGAGAAGCCTCCCACAAGGATGGTAAAAACATCAAAACATCCGGGCGTCCCCTGGGCAACGTCCTTGCAGACGGCCAATTCTCTCACACCAGAAGCGACTTGCAGTTTCTCAAGTCGCTCCTGACACGACAAACAAACAAACAAACAAAATTAAATAATAATAATAATAATAATAATTATTATTATTATTATTAATGCATTGATAAAGGTTTTCTGATGCTTGAATACTGATTAGGAACCATGCAAAGATCTTGATGTTTCCATCCAGAAGGGAGACTATTGCAGTATTTATTTATTTACTGTATTTATATATCACCTTTCTCAGCCCTCAGGCGACTCAAGGCGGTTAAGAGGACAAAATTCAATGCTTACAATGTCATAAATACAATTAAAAACACAACACATAATAAAAACTAAACAAACATAAAATATAAATTCATAGTGTCTCCTTGTTAAAAACGTTGTCCGGACTCATTGTCTAGTCATTCCATTTTCCTGTGTTAGTTACTCTGCGTTTGCAAACGCTTGTTCAAAAAGCCACATCTTGACTTTTTTCCGGAATGTTAAAAGGGAGGTGGCCATTCAAATATCTATAGGGAGGGCGTTCCACAGCTGAGGGGCCACCACCGAGAAGGCCCTGTCTCTCGTCTTCACCTAACTTGTGACAAAGGCGGTAACGAAAGCAGGGCCTCCCCAGATGATCTTAAGGTCCTAGATGCGTTCGGACATGTAAGTTGCGCCAGAACCGTTTAGGGCTTTATAGGCTAAAGCCAGCACTTTGAATTGTGCCTGGTAGCAAACTGGCAACCACTGGAGTTTTTCATTCTTTCCTGTAAGGATCACGAAAACAAAGACTGGTATCCCTAGGTTTCAGAGGTTTAAGAATTTGGGTTGACACCTCAGTGTCAAATACGCCTTACCTGAAGTGGATCTTGGTGGAGTCTCATAGGGCCAAAGTGCACATCTGTTCCTGCCGCCTAGAAACAAGAACAGGACAATCTTAAGCATGGTCTTGCATCTCATGTCTTGAATTGTCTTGCGCTATCATTTCCCAGCCACACACTAAGGTATTTGATTTACTCCCACTTTAGAGATACTCGTAACATAGTACTCACAATGATATAAAATGAGTGACTTGTTTTCTGATGGATTTTCTAAAATGGAGAGGTATTAGTCACAAAAGGTTGCTTGATAATACATTGGTTTTCAAAAAGACCTACTATTTTGCAAAAGAGCCTTTCACATATTGGCATTTAAAGCAATGGCATCCAAAAAGAGTAAACAAAGCACTGACTGACAACTTGGATAAGGTCTTTGTTTCTGTAAGGGAGGGAAGGGGTGCAGATGCACAAAGTATGTCAACCTTGAGAGGAAAACAATCACAAAGGCTTTGAAAAGTATCAGACACATGATGGAGGTGGTTAGAGGCACTTTAACAAGAGCTGGGCTCGTGTTGTTGGGTGCCTTTGAGTCAACTCTGCGTATGGCAATACAATCATGGATTTATTCAGGGGAGGCTTGACTGCCTTCTTCTGAAGCTGAGAGGGTGTGACTCGCCAAAGGCACCCAGTAGAATCCCATGCCTGACCAAAAAGTCCAACCTCGGTCTCACTGAGATTTAGCCCTATGCATAGGGACTCAGGAGAGAGGTCCACGATGAAAGGGAATCATATCATTAGAAAATACCTACAAAGAGTATCTGGTCCAACTCCCTTCAGCCTGGCAAGTAGACACAATCAAAGCCCTCCTAACAGACAGCCATTCAGCCTCAGTTCAAAAACTCCCAGAGAAGGGGACTCCACTGGAAGAGACCTCTAAAGGGCATCTAGTCCAGCCCCCTTCAGCTAGGCAGGAGAACACAATCAAAGCAACCCTTGGATGGCTATCTAGCCTCTGTTGAAAAACTTCCAGACATGTTTAATCAGGACAGAAATGCAGTGCTGGTGCTGTTATAATATAGCTATAATATAGCTATAATATTTATAATTTACAATATTTACAATATTTACAATATTTGTTGATTGTGTTGCAGTAATCATCACTAGAATGGATATGGATATGGATAGACTACTGCAACACACTCTCCGTGGGGTTGCCTCTGAAGACTGCCCGGAAGCTGCAATTAGACCAACGCTCAGCAGCCAGGTTGCTCACAGGAGTGGGGTACAGGGAGCGCACAACTCCCTTGTTATGCCAACTCCACTGGCTGCCAATTAGCTTCCGAGCACAATTTGACCTAAAACAACCCTGTATGATTTACCTGTCCAAATGTATTCTCCCCTATAAACCATCAAGGGCGTTAAGATCTTCCGGAGAGGCCCTGCTCTCGGTCCCTCCACCTTCATAGTCGTGTCTGGTGGGAACAAGAAACAGGGCCTTCTCTGTGGTGCCCCCCCCCCGACTATGGAACTCTCTCCTCAATTAAGTTAGGTCTGCCCCCTCCCTCCTGACCTCCAGGAAACAATTGAAATCCTGGCTCTGGAATCAGGCATTCACAGAGTGACGACGGAGACCAGTAAAGACTAAAGTTATTGGACCACAGTGTGTGGACTGAGTTGGACCATGTTTTTAACTTGGTTAATGGTTTTATATGTATTTTAATCTTATATGTATTTTAATCTATTGTTTTATGGATGTTGTTTTAAAATGGTATTTATTGTTCGCATTGAATTCTTGCTGTTAGCCATTCTGAGTCCGCGGAGGTAGAGAAGAACGGGATATAAAAGTTCTAAATAAATAAATATGTTTCTAATTAAGAAAATAAAATCTGCTGAAAATGATACCTGTCATTAACTACACTGAGTGGTTATAGAGCAGGGGTTCTCAATCTGTGGGTTGCAACCCCTTTGGGGGTCAAACAATCATTCACAGGGGTCGCCACTTCACCTACTTCGGGTCTGAAGGAGGAGTCATGGGTAGGCTCTTGGAGTCCGAGGCACGCGCCTTCTATTTCTCTCTTTCTTCCCCTTTCCTTCTCTTCCCTTTCCCCCCTCTTTTTCTTTCTTTCTCTCCCTTTCTCTTCTTTTATCCTTTTCTTTTCTTTTTCTTCTTCTTTCCCCCCTCCTTCTTTCTCCTTCCTTCTCTCTTTCTCCCTTGTTTTTTCTCCCTTTCTCCCCTTTCCTTTTTTTATTCCTCTTTTCTTTTCTTTTTCTTTCTTCTTCCCCCCCTCCTTCTTTCTACCTTCCTTCTCTCTTTCTCCCTATTTTTCTCTCCCTTTCTCCCCCTTTCTTTCTTTTTATATCCCTTTCTTTTCTTTTCCCCCTCCTTCTTTCTCTTCCCTTCTTTTTCCCCCTTTGTGGAGGGATGGCTGTAAATGTCCTGTAGCTCTGATGCCACAAAAGTAACTCACATTTACATTCTCTTACTGTTATAATTCAAAGTGAATGTGCTAGAGACACACACTAACTATCTATATAAATAAAAATGTAATGTTCATTTGTGGGATTCACATAACTCAAAAACCACTGGACGAATAGACACCAAATTTGGACACAATACATCTATCAGGCCAATGAGTGACCATCACTCATAAAAACACTGAAAAACACAGCAGAAGAGACTTAAAAAGCAAAAAAAAAGCAAAAAGACACCACAGCGCATGCGCAAAACGACTCCCCCTGGCAAACAAAACACACAATAGCATATCCACACTCTCTTCCAGACTACAGCTCCCAGCATCCCCTAGACCAGGCCCTTTAGGAGAAGGATGATCCAAATGCACTGCTTCCAAGATGCAAGCTTTCTTCTCTTTGGATTTCTTTGAGAGCATCCCAATCCCTATATATTTCCAATTTCCTATTCCTGGGCTGCAACTCCCAGCAATCCTCCAGATAGATAAGACAGATAGATTAGATAGATATAGATAAGTAAGTACAGAGATTGATCAGGAGGACTGCTGGGAGTTGCAGTCCAAGAATAGGTAGAGAAAGGAGAAAAGGGAGAAAGAGGAAGGGAAAGAAAAGGGGGGAAGGAAGGGAAGAGGAAGAGAAGGAAGGAAGAAGAGAAGGAAAGAATAAAAGGGAAGGAAGGAAGGAGAGAAAGAAAGGAGGAGAGAAAGAGAGAGGGAAGGTTGACCACAGCAGTGGGTGGTAAGTACAGCTAGTATTCGACATTAATTAAAATGTGGCTTAGGGTCATTTGGGCTTTCAAAAATTATTTCAGCATAAGGCATTCTCACTGCTGTTTGTGCTGGTACGGCTGTACCAGGAGCTCCAACTTTATTTTCTTTCTGTTATCTGTTTGCAGTCATAGGGCAGGCCTCCTGTCCATCATAATTAAGCTTTGGTTCCGCCCCTTGTTCAGGGCTCTGGGAGGGAAAGGAGCCATTTTTTGGGCAATCTCTCATAAGGAAGCTAAACTATAGGGCGTAGACCAGCTCGTCCCGTAGAAAAGCTTCTTTTCTCAAGAACATCCGGGGAAACAGAAATTCCAGGGAAAAGGTCCCAAGGCTCTGGCGGAGAGCTCACAGCCTCTCAGCCTCACAGCAATCAGAGGGAAAACAGCCCTGAAGTTTCAAAGAATTCTCTGAGGGAGGACAGCACTACAGATCCATGGAACTCCATCTGAAATATCTACAAGCCTCGGCTGGTAGGTCTACTCGATACCCAGATGCATTTGGAATCGGTAGTAGGACCCACACCGATGAGGTGTAGATAGTAAACAGCCTGGGAGGAGGTTAAAAAGGGTTTTTCCTACAGAGAAAGTTAATCAAGGTCAGATACCAGTCCATTGAGGACTAGACTGAGAAAGCCTTGAAGTGTGTTTGTTCCATAATAAAGACTTTGTTGTCTCATTAAAGACTCTAAAGACCATCACTTCAGAAAAATCCCCGAGAACCTCTCTTTGAGGCGCCCTGGCTTCCCGCTGGGCTTAAAGTATACGTTCTATAGAAAAGACAGCTGTTACAGACCCAGCGCACGACAGAACACTGTTCTTGATGAAGATAAACAGGTTCTGAATGCTTCACACACACAACTTTCTCAATTTAAGCTCTGTGCACTGACCATTGTATAAGTCTGTCGATGCCACCAACCACACAATAAAGAATTGTTGTTGAGACACTCTGATTAGGCACAACCCCCCTTTCCTCCTGTTCTAAAATAAAATGGTTGGAAAAGGTTTTGGTGGGGCAGGAGCCAGAAGACTTTACGCACAATGTTATTCTCCACAGTAAAACCACACTTTATGATCCCATGTAATCCTCTCCTGTCCAGAACGTCTTCCAATGGGTAATTTTAAAGAGCCAGCAGCTGAACCCACACGCCACATCAAGGCCTTTGAAAATAACATGGTTGAGCTATGGCTCTATCACTTGAAACTCAGTGTTTCAGACTCCGCAGATACTCTTTCATTTATTACCCTGGAAATTACCCATTTAATTTTACATTTAAACAAACACCAAACAAGAGAAAAAGAAGCGGAGGAGGGAATGAATTCAGAGTAAGTGAAGACCGTGTGTTGTCGAAGGCTTTTATGGCTGGAATCACTGGGTTACTGTGAGTTTTCCAGGCTGTATGGCCATGTTCCAGAAGCATTCTCTCCTAATGTTTCGCCCACACCTATGGCAGGCATTCTCAGAGGTTGTGAGGTCTGTTGGAGACTTTAGATCAGTGTTTCTCAAGCTTTTTAATGCCGCGACCCCTTAATACAGATCCTCATGTTGTGATGACCCCCAACCAGAACATTATTTTCGTGGTTGCTTCATAACTGTAATTTTGCTACTGTTATGAATTGTAATGTAAATATCTGATACGCAGAATATATTTCCATTCACTGGACCAACTTTGGCACAAATACCCGATGTGCCCAAATTTGAATACTAGTGGGGTTTGGGGAGGGGTTGATTTTGTCATTTGGGAGTTATGTTGTTGTTCATTCGTTCAGTCGTCTCCGACTCTTCGTGACCTCATGGACCAGCCCACGCCAGAGCTCCCTGTCGGCCGTTACCACCCCCAGCTCCCTCAAGGTCAGTTATAGT